TATAAGATCAAATCACATAAGTGATATCACAGGACTAACCAACAAAGAAATAAAGATCCAAGTCTACTCAATGGGTCTAAGTAAAGGAAGAGCTTTGTTTAAATAATACAGTAATAGCTAGGTAATACCCAGAGGACCTTAAGGAAGAAAGAAAGTGTTAATATTGACCAGAAAATAAAACTTAATACTTGTGAATTAGGATCTGTAACCGCAAACAAAATCTACTAACATTATTAACATTATTACTTATTATATATATTAATTTATTTTTATTCGTTATTATTATTTTATTTATTCTTATTTATTATTATATTATTACACTTTTAATTATATATATATATTATTACTACATTTGATGTACCTCCCACCAAGCAACAGTGAAGTGATAAAAGAAATTTCAACTAAGATTCGTGACAAGATTATATTTTACAAAAAAACAAATTCTGTAATCTTAATGAGGGACTTTAATCATGTTGTAGACCCACAATTAGACCGGGCAAGGCCATCATCAACACAAAAGAATTTACCTCTACATCAGTGGCTAATTTCTAGAGAATACAAGGACTCTTTCAGATTTTGCAACCCAGAAAGTAAAATATATACATGGAGTAACTCTACAACAGCAACAAGATTAGATTAGATCTGAGTAGCGAACTGTCTAGCTCAACACATAGAGACAGCAAACATTATTGAGATGCAAACAATTACAGGTAGCGATCATGAGGCGGCTTTTGTTAATATCAAGATAAAGCCACACAGAAACCCAGAAGAAGATGCATCAAGTGAGACACATTTAGCAGTGCGAATGAAGTGGTTACTTGATCAGACAAAAGAGGAGGATTGGCAGAATTATAGAGCAATACTGTGGAAGCTCTTAGATAGCAAGATTCCATTCTTTCTAAAAGAACATTATATAGATATAGATATAGCTTCTTCACCAAATATATTGGATAGAGTCAACCAAGTATGGGAAATAATTGAAGAGGCTATTATTAAATCAGCAAAGCAAAACCTCCCAAATAAGAAAATTAGACCCTCAAAGAGAGCTGTCAGAAAAAAAAGAAAGAAAAACTTATGGTTGACAGCTGCACAGAATTTGGGAAAGATTATAAGAGATATTAAAAGAGCAAAAAACCCATCTAATAACAGCTCAGTATTGCAATGGAATAGAGGTTTGAAAAAAATAAACAAGTCAACAGGTAGTGAAATCATGTTGGTTGCCGACTTCATTACTGAAAGCTGGTTAGAAGAAGCAAAAGTATGGTGGAAAACTTTTGAAGTCAAAGTGGTCACTGAAGAGAATATGCGAATCAAAAAAGAAATTAGGGTGTGTGTTGAAAAAAGAGCACAAATGATCGTTAAAGAACAAAAATGAATGCTAACAAGCTTGCTAGAAAAATCAATCTCCAAGATGACAATTGACAAAGTTTATACCGAAGAGGCAGAGAGTGCTCGGCTAGAAACAAACTCTAAAGAGGTGCTTAGGATTACCAAAGAGCATTTCCAAAATCAGTTTCATAAAAGAAACACAAATATGGCTTTGCTGAACGGAGATTGGCACCAAGAATACAGTCCTATTGCATGAGTACAAGAGAGTTGGTACAACTCATTACTTGATCCAATCGAATTAGAAGAATGAGAACACTAGTTGAAAACTAGAAATTCAACCAAGATGAATTTTAATAAAATTCAGCATCAATTTGATTCGAGAGTTTAAAATTCGACTATTAAATATTTGACATAGTCGAATTATTGGTATATTCAACCTAATTTTGACAGAAATTCAATGGTTGAATTTTTTAAAATTTGACCTAGGCAAAGTTTGAAAGAATTTGATCTAAAATTAGTTAGAAATTTGGTGTTCGAATTTTTCAAAATTTGCCCAGGCCGAATTTTGAAAAAAAATTCGATCTAAAATTAGCTAGAAATTCGGTGTTTAAATTTTTTAAAATTTGACCAGGTGAATTTTTAAAAAATTCGAACTTAAAATAGCCAGAAATTCAATAGTCGAATTTTTTAAAATTCAACCTGAGCAAAGTTTAAAAAAATTCGATCTAAAATTAGCTAGAAATTCGATGTTCGAATTTTTTAAAATTCGACTAGGCGAATTTTTAAAAAATTCGAACTTAAAATAGCCAGAAATTCAATGGTTGAATTTTTTTAAAATTCAGTGAAAAATTCGACCATTGAATTTCTGGCTATTTTAAGTTCGAATTTTTTAAAAATTCATCTGGTCGAATTTTAAAAAATTCAAACACCGAATTTCTAGCTAATTTTAGATCGAATTTTTTTAAACTTTACCCAGGTAAAATTTTAAAAAATTCGACCATTGGATTTTTGGCTATTTTAAGTTCAAATTCTTTCAAACTTCACCCAGGTCGAATTTTAAAAAAATTTGAACACCGAATTTCTAGCTAATTTTAGATCGAATTTTTTTCAAAATTTGGATAAAAATATGTATGCCCAAGAAAATTTGATCACATGATTACTGAAGTCTTTGCTGTTCGGAAAAACAGTTAGACCAGACCAATTTAATTCAGTTGGACTTAACTAAGAGTGAACTTTGAATGAATCTGAAATAAACTATAAATTTTTGATAATTGAATTTTAATAAAATTCAATCTGACTGAATTGTACCTAAACAAATTTTAATCTGACCAAGTTTAGTAGACGAATTTTAACAAAATTCGATCTGGCTAAATTGTTACTAAATTCAACATATATAAATTCAATTAGATCGAAAAACCTATTACATATCTAGCTGAATAATACAATACAAAAATTCGATATAAAATTGATGTACTAAATTACATATGAATTTTTCTATTAATTGGCATAATAGCAATATATTCTTTTGAACTTTTTTTGTATGCTAATTTATAAGATTCAGGCACAAATCGGTTCAAAATTTGGTGAATTGGTATTAAACAATCACACTAATCGAAATAAAGTCTTTAGTCCAAAGTTCAACATTGCATAATTGACCTTCTTTCTCATTCATTCTGAAATAGAGTCTTGTTGAACTATTAGATGCTGGTTTATACCAATGCACAAATGCTAGATTATGTTTGAGTTGGCTATTATTTATATTAATTGTATGCTGAATAAAATATTATATTTGGCCAACATATGTATCATAAGAAACTCTATCTTGATTAATAAATTCAGCCATAATAAATGAGCTTCTTATATGCCAAATTGACATAGTTGATCCAAATATTTCTGAACCAATTCGCAAACGGCCAAATTGGTCTCCAAATGGATAAATTAATATTGAATTTTCATCTCTAATACCACTAAGTGGTATCTGAAATGAATATTCAGAATAGGCAGCCAAATAATACTTTAATAATAAATTTGACATTTTATTAGATATAACTATATGAATTTTTGAGGGACTCAAAAATTCTTCAGAAAAATCTTCAACACCACTAGCTGAAATTGTTTCAATGCTCCTTGACATTTGAAGAAATCTTTGTAATTCATCAGTTTCAAACTAGTCTGATGATGCTAAACTTCCAATTGTTTTTTTTACTGAAAGTAATTCAAGCCCTTTTATAGTACCAGTTTGGTTAATTAGATCATTAACCATACAGTCTTGCATAAGCCAACGCATTAATTCTGGTTCAATTTGTCTGATTATTTGGAAGTGAATTAAGATAGCCATTCATCCACTCAAATGAGAAACACCAGAATGAATAAAGTGGTTCATAGTCAAGGCAGTATTGAGTAGTGTGGAGTGCTAGATGAAGATTTGGTGTAATATATTTTTTACTATATTTTTCTTCAATTTGCTTAATAAGAAGAATAAACCGATTATGTGCCTCTTCTAATACAGTTATATCAATAATTCAGCAAATCAGAATTGTACAAATTTGTACAAAATTTGTAAGAATTCTTTGATCTGATGCCAGAAGAAAATCTCACAGGCAAGGTGTTGCATAAATTAAAATAAATGTTCTCTATTCATTGGCAGTGAAATTAGCAAACCCCTCACTACAGTCAACCTTTCTTGGAATTCAGCCAATATCAGATGGAACCTGAATTTCTGACATTTTAATTTGAATTTGCCTTAATTGGTTGATACTTAATATTCAATATTCCATTATCAACCCATAATCGCTTTATAATCTATTTTGCAATACCTAAAAATAGGCAATGCATTGGATCAATAGCCAAAAACCGAATAGAATTAAAATATGGTAATCGGATTAACTCAAACTACCGAACATGAGTAAGTTTTTTATGTTGTTTTCTGCCCGATTTAGTATAGCATCTTCTTCATTGCTCAGCATCTTGTTGATGCTGAGCTAAGTCACGTTCAATAAACCAAGTGTCAATATTATCTATGCCTCTATAATGATGATGTCTATCCTCATGTTGTGCTTTTTTTTCATATCAATAACAGGCTGCTAATGCTGAGGTATAGCCACAAAGCTTTTGAGCTGCAGGTATATCACATGAACATAAAATTAATGCCACTCGAATTGTCTTTCCAGATAGGTTCTCATAAGTTGAAATTTGAACACCATCCCAAAATCGGAGTAATTCATCAACAACTAGTACAAGATAGTGGTTAATGTGGTGTAAATAAACTTCATTTGGACCTGGTAAAATGCCAAGAACTAACATGTTTTCAGCTTTAAATCGAATATCTCTTGGTAAATTAGAAATAGCCATATAAATTACACTAGTGCTATACTGGGTTCCATCGAATGGCTGAAACCAGTCCAAATTTAATATAAATCCAAGATGTGTATCAGCTGATTCTTGTGTAAAAAATTGATTGCCAATTGATTCTTTATCAGCAAATTCTTTCCAAACTTGACCATCATAAATGTCAGAAAGAATGCCTTTAAGAACATTACGATGAGTCCATTTTTTACATAATTGTTCAAAATTAGAACGCATATACATTTTTGCAAGTTGACTTTTGATACTTGCAAAAGAATAAAGTAAAATTGGCTTATTAATAGTGCTACTTAGATATCGATTTTGTGTTACTAAGGCCGAATTACATATAACTATTTGCCTAGATCCAATTATATTCAGAAATTCAACATGGTTATATTTTTTTACTGATAATTGTCTATTATTATCCCGTGAATCAACAATCTCTTTTTCAGTATATAGTTTGTTACATTTTGGACATACTGAATATGTTATAAAGTTACCGATTTTAAGATGTTTTCGAAGCATATACATTGAGGTTGGAAAATTTTTAAAAAGATTTTTATCACCAAATTCACATAATAGTTGACGAATATATTTAATTAAAATTTCGGTAGCTGTTTCAGGCACTTTAAAATTACTTTGAAATTTTAATAGCCAAATTAATATATCATCAAAACTAGATGGTATTCTAAGTCTAGGTTGAGATTTATTTTCATAATCAATATTCGGTGCTGAATAATCTTCAAATTTATTAATATTGCTATATTGAATACCTTTGGCTAATTCTTCTTCAGATGATAGATCATCATCATCATTATTATTATCATAATCCAATACAATATAGGGTGGAGTCAATAGAAAAAGAACAAATTATTTTTAGTGAAATTTTTTTAATTTTTAAATTAAAATATCTTAACCAACTAATAAATCAAATTTGCTTAAAATTTTTTTATTTTAATTTTGAAATTATAAAGAATTAAAATAAAAAAATAATTATTAAATTTAATAAGATAATTGCTAAGATATTTAAGCTTAAAGTCAAGAAAACTTTTACTTAGAAAAAATTTGTCACTTTTTTATTGACTCCACCCCATATTATTATCACTACTTTCATCTGCCGAAGTGATAACTTGTTCTTCTGCATTTAAAATATTTATTTTAGCACTTGATGTTTGTTGGCGTTTTTTTGATAAAAACGATAAGTTATCTATATCAAGGCTAGATAAAAGTTCATTATCATCTCTTTCTATATCTGACAACGAATCAATTGTTGTTACCGATTGTTGGCTTAGGCTACTTAATTGATTTAGACTACTTAATTCTTTAGATAGAGCTGGTTGTTTTATCCCATTTAAATCTGTTTGAGACAATTGTTGGCTAGTAGTTAAAGAGTGTTGCTCTTTTGTACAAGGATCAACAAACTTGTCTTTACACTTTAGGCAATTGCATATAACTCTTTTATGTGTTCTATGGGTCAAAGTAGGCAATGGTTTAGGAGTCGAAGTAGAAGATTTAGATTGATGGGATGAATCTTGGCCAATGGTTTTTAAAATATCTTTTGCACTTTGTTTTCGAGACATTTTTGATAAATTATGAATAATATTATAAGCTATTGTAAGCTAAAATTTATTTCTTTATACAATTAGTACTATTTATAAGAAA